GGGAGAACCCATCTCGACGAAAAGTTAAAAAATAAGCCAGGCATGGTGGCCCACACCTGTAGTCCCAGCTACTCAAGAGTTCAAGGCTGCAGTAAGCTAAGATTGCACCACTGCCTAACAGCCTGGGTGTCAGCGTGACACCTTGTCTCTTAAAAAAAAAAAAAAAAAGAGTTGAATTCATCCCATCATCTCCATCTCAGTTGCTGGTACTCTAATTTGAGATATCCTCCTTCCACTGGGACAAAAACAGTAGACTAACCCATCTACAATCTTGATCTCTTCAATCCATACTTTCATTAGAGTAATCATTCTAAAGCACAAAACTCATCATCTCTCTCCACTATTCAGTTTACATTTCTGTATGGTATCATGAAGGTTCAACAGAAAGAGATATATGTTCTGCCAAAGCTAATTTGTTCACAGCTCACCTGAATTTTACTGCCTTTTCTTTTCCTTTTTTTTTTTTTGAGACGGAGTCTCACTCTGTCACCCAGGTTGGAGTGTAGTGGTGCGATCTCAGCTCACTGCAACCTCTGTCTCCTGGGTTCAAGTGATTCTCCTGCCTTAGCCTCCCGAGTAGCTGGGATTACAGGCACGTGCCTCCACGCCTAGCTAATTTTTGTATTTTTTAGTACAGACGGAGTTTCACCATGTTGGCCAGGCTGGTCTCGAACTCCTGACCTCGTGATCCACCCGCCTTGGCCTCCCAAAGTGTTGGGATTACAGGCGTCAGCCACCGCACCCGGCCCTGAAATTCTTGAAAAGATTAAAGAAGAAAATGAGTAATTATGTTCATGTTCTTGGAAAGGACTTTCAGTGTGACAGAAAAAAGATTCAGTTTTTTGTTTTTTTTTTTTTTTCTTTTGAGACAGGATCTCACTCTGTTATCCAGGCTGGAGTTCAGTGAGCATGACCTTGGCTCACTGCAGCCTCTACCTTATGGGTTCAGGTGATCTCTCACCTCAGTCACCCAAGTAGCTGGGATTTCGGGCATGCCACCATGCCTGGCTAATTTTTTGTATTTTTAGTAGAGACAGGGTTTCACCACATTGCCCAGGCTGGTGTCAAACTCCTAGGCTCAAGCGATCTGTCCACCTCGGCCTCCCAAAGTGCTTGGAGCCACTTCACCCAACTAGAGATTCCATTGTAAATATCAATGATGTTAAACAAAACCCCTGAAATATTAACTTTGAATTGTAATTATCTGTATATATTTCTGATTTTTTTTCCTTAAAAAAAAAAAAAATAGGCCAGGCATGGTGGCTCGCGCCTGTAATCCCAGACTTTGGGAGGCCGAGGAGGGTGGATCACTTGAGGTCAAGAGTTCAAAACCAGCCCGGCCAACATGGCAAAACCCCTTCTCTACTAAAGATACAAAAATTAGCCAGATGTAGTGGTGTGTGCCTGTAATCCCAGCTACTCGGGAGGCTGAGGCAGGAGAATCACTTTAGCTCAGGTGGCGGAGGTTGCAGTGAGCTGAGATCGCACCCCTGCACTCCAGCCTGGGCAACAGAGCAAGACTCTATCTCAAAAAAAAAAGAAAAAAAAAATTAGCCAGGTGTGGTGGTAAGTGCCTATAGTCCCAGCTACTCGGGAGGCTGACACAGGAGGATTGCCTGAACCCAGGAATTCAAGGCTACAGTGAAGTGTGATCATGCCAGTTCACTCCACCCTGGGTAACAGTGAGCTCCTGTCTCTAAAAAAGCCAAAAGCACACAAAAAACACACATCCTAGCTCTGTCCACTATAAAAGTCAAGTAGCAATGAGAAATAATAACACTATAGCAGCCAGGCGTGGTGGCTCATGCCTATAATCCCAACGCTTTGGGAGGCTGAGGCAGGCGGATCACCTGAGGTCAGGAGTTTGAGACCAGCCTGACCAACATGGTGAAACCCTGTCTCTACTAAAAATACAAAAATTAGCTGGGCGTGGTGGCGTGCACCTGTAATCCCAGCTACTCAGGCTAAATTTTTGTATTTTTAGTAGAGGTGGGGTTTCACCATATTGGCTGAAACCAATATGGTGAGGCTGAGGCAGGAAACTTGCTGGAACCTGGGAGGCAGAGGCTACAGTGAGCCAAGATCGCACCACTGCACTCCAGCCTGGGCAACAGAGCAAGACTCCGTCTAAAAAAATAAATAAATAACACTATAGAGGCCGGGCGCGGTGGCTCAAGCCTATAATCCCAGCACTTTGGGAGGCCGAGACGGGCGGATCACGAGGTCAGGAGATCGAGACCATCCTGGCTAACACGGTAAAACCCCGTCTCTACTAAAAAATACAAAAAAAACTAGCCGGGCGAGGTGGCGGGCGCCTGTAGTCCCAGCTACTCGGGAGGCTGAGGCAGGAGAATGGCGTGAACCCAGGAGGCGGAGCTTGCAGTGAGCCGAGATCGGGCCACTGCACTCCAGTATGGGCAAGAGTGCCAGACTCCGCCTCAAAAAAAAAAAAAAAAAAAAAAAAACACTATAGCAATGAACACTCCTACTATGCTGGTTATGGCCTCTAAATACCATTCCCTACCAAGACAAACAAAGGCTCTTTGGAGAAATGGCTGATTTCAGAATTGGGGCAGGAAAGTATACAACATAGTACTGGAAAGTCTCATTGTACTTGAAAGAAAGGAAGGAAATCATAAAAGACAAGGAGGTCATATGAAAAGGATCTATAAGCCAACATGAAGAGACTCTCTGGCCAAACATAAGACAATTTAGTATTAAAGAACATTACAACTGAACCTGAAACACTGAATACATGAAAACACACAATTTCCTAATGAAAGTTAAAAGTGTCCTCCCCATTCAAGAAACAAACAAACAATAGATCACGACTGTAGGTGTACAGCGTATCAACTCTTTATTCTGAAAAATGTCAATTAAAGGGAAAAAGTTAAGCACATATCCTGTTTTTTGTTTCAGATTATTATATATAGCAGTGTAACTTAATAGTGAAGATTCTGTTTTACAAAAGAATTATAGCTAGTACACATAGAATATGTGAGACAATTGGAAACTCAGCATTTTGCAACTTCTAGGTAATTAATGATTCAGGCAATAGGCATGAGAACATATGAAAGGTTGATGGGGGCCTTTAAAATAAAGGGAATCATTGCCATCTGAACTTGCTGATCAATTGTAGATTCACTATAGGTCTATCAGATAGTACATGTCTCCTGATAAGATGCAAAGTACATAGTGCAGCCTATGAAATATTCTTGCCCCCCAAAAATTTAGACCCAAATCTGATTTGTTGTGTGAAAAAAAAAAAAAGACCAGGCGTGGTAGCTCATGGCTATAATCACAGCACTTTGGGAGGCTGAGGCGGGTGGATCACCTGAGGTCAGGAGTTCAAGACCAGCCTGGCCAATATGGTGAAACCCCATCTCTACTAAAAATATAAAAAATTTGCCAGGTATGGTGGTAGATGCCTGTAATCCCAACTACTCGGGAGACTTAGGGGGGAGAATCGCTTGAATCCAGGAGGCGGAGGTTGCAGTGAGCTGAGATGGCACTACTGCACTCCAGCCTGGGTGTGACAGAGTGAGACTCAGTCTCAAAAAAAAAAAAAAAAAAAGAAAAGAAAATAACTTAGACATACAGGAAACAAACAGATAAATCCAGAACATAGAACACTCTGTATGACAACATAATTCAGTTTCTTCAACAAATCCACTGATTTGGAGAAAAGGGGAATTAAAAGCAGAATATCAACTAACTATAATGTGTGGTCCTTGCCGAGATCCTGATTTGAGTAAACCAAGTGTAAAAGGAAATTTTTGAGCTACCTGAAGAAATTCTGATATGGACTGGGTGTTAGTGGACACCAAAAAATTACTGTTATTGTTAATATTGTTAGATGTAAAGATAATGGCTGTCTGTAGCTAGGTGAAAAGTGTCCCATCTTCTTAAGAGATGCAGACCTAGGTACTGAGGGGTAAAAAACCTGATGGCTGGAGTTTTCTTTAAAATGCTTTGCATACACAAAAGATGTTAAGTTAGGGATAGCTGAAGAAACAAGCACTGTATAGTAAAGTCTAGATAATCAGTGAGTTTAGGTAATGGGCACATGGGAGTTTATGATACTGTTCTTTATACTTTTGTGTGTTTTTGAAATTTATAATAAAACTTTTTAAAGCTGTAGATATAAAGAGAAGTAGCCATGTCAGGAAAAAAAATCCAAACAGAAGTTAAAAAATTTCTTTCAATCACGCTGTCATTTAAAAACAAATGTGAAGTTTTATTACTATTATTATTATTATTATTTTTTTTTTTGAGATGGAGTATTCCTCTTTTGCCAAGGCTAAAGTGCAATGGTGTGATCTTGGCTCACTGCAATCTCTGCCTCCCAGGTTCAAGTGATTCTTCTGCCTCAGCTTCCCAAGTAGCTGAGATTACAGGTGTGTGCCAAGAAGCCCGGCTAATTTTTGTATTTTTAGTAGATGTGGGGTTTTACCATGTTGGCCAGGCTGCTCTCGAACTCCTGACCTGAGGTGACCTGCCCACCTGGGCCTCCCAAAGTGCTGGGATTACAGGTGTGAGCCACCGTGCCCTGCCATGAAGTTATTTTATGTAGACTTTTCGTTTCTTTTTTTTTTTTTTTTGAGATGAAGTCTCACTCTGTTGCCCAGGCTGAAGTACAACGGCTTGATCTTGGCTCACTGCAACCTCCGCCTCCTGGGTCTAAGTGATTCTCCTGCCTCAGCCTCTTGAGTAGCTGGGATTACAGGCGTGTGCCACCATGCCCAGCTAATTTTTGTATTTTTAGTAGAGGGGGGGTTTCACCATGTTGGCCAGGCTGGTCTCAAACTCCTCACCTCAAGGGATCCGCCCACCTCGGCATCCCAAAGTGCTGGGATTATAGGCGTGAACCAAAACACTGAGCCCTAGATTTTTCATACAAGATGTTCTAAGCCACTCACATTAGTTTTTTTTGTGTCTTTTGAGTATATCACTGCATATTTATTGCCAATAAATTTCTACATTGTTAAAAGATATATTACCTGTTGTCAATAATCATTACACTGGAGAGTGGAATCCCCAAAACATCACAGCTCTGCAAAAGTTCTTTCTTACGAGTCTCTCCTTGATTGTAGTAATTTCCTGAGGATAACAAATATACAGTGGTAGATTTTTTTAACAGTGGAGAACTATCTATTCACTCATTCTCATCCTGTTTTTGTTCCTTGAAGGATTTAAGCTGCCTGAAAATGTGTGATTATGATACAAAGTTTAAGAAAACACAACACCAAGATACTCCTGTGAGAAGACTACCAGTAGCACAATCTTTAGAACCACCATTCACAATTCTTTCCCATCTTTGTATTTATCTACCTATCTTTCTGACTGCATTTCAGTCACATGCTAGAGGCAGCATGGTACACAGCCAAGGGTACTAACTTTGAAGTTAAGCAGATTTAGGATCAACCCATGTATGACCACTGAGAACAACTGGGACCCCCTCTTCATTGACAGCCCTCAAATAACTGTTTAACATTGATTTAAGGATGAAGCTTTCCAAGCTCATTCTTGTTGGTATAGAAAAAGAAAATAGAGGCTGCTACTCTTGAGTATTACAGGAAAATGTGCAGATACACGGAAAGCATCCTCTTTTGAAGAGTTTCACAGCCAGCTATCCAGCATGCCCCAAGGGGATCTTGATCCCATTGGCACCCCAAACAACATATATTCTTTATTTTCCCAAAACATATACTATATTCCCTAAAAATAGTTCTGGTAAATAAAACTCTTCTGTATTCTTACAAATAATACAGTGACATTTTGGTGTCACCTAAGTTGGACTCATTTTGAGCAACTGTCCAGCTAATGCACCTGTTAATTCAACTCTCCGATAAATAATTGCAGGTCTGATTTGTGCAAGTTACTTAACTTTCTTGAGCTACAGTTTCTTCACCAGTTAAGTGGGGATAATGGCTATTTCTTTTTTTTTTAGAGTCTTGCTCTGTTGCCCCAGCTGGAATACAGCAATCTCAGCTCACTGCAACCTCTGCCTCCAGAGTTCAAGCGATTCTCCTGCTTCAGCTCAGTAGTTGGGATTACAGGCACCCGCCACCATGCCTGGCTGATTTTTGTATTTTTAATTGAGATGGGGTTTCACTATGTTGCCCAGACTGGTCTCGAACTCCTGACCTTGTGCTCCACCTGCCTCAGCCTCCCAAAGTGCTGGGATTACAAGTGTGAGCCACTGCACCTGGCAAACAGGCTTAGTTTTGTATTGTCCTCATCATACCTTTTTTCTTGTTTTTTTTTTTTTTTTTTTGTCATAAACATTTTGTGTATATTTTGGGTTTCCCTCAAATCTCTATACATACCCTCTCCCATTTTTTTGCTCCCTAGATTACTTGATTTTTGGTGATAGTCTCATGTACATTAGTACTGCAATTGCTAAGTTCAAAGGCTGTGCACATTAGTCTATGATTATGGTTATGAGAAACTGCTTAGAATTGAGGTTAATGTGTTTTATTGGGGCCAGTTTTATTGCTTTGTGTTTGAATTAAGGAACTTACAACAGTTCTGGAAGTTGAAGTCAAGGACCATTTTAATTGTTTTCAATAAGTTTGGTGAACATGTAGGCACTCAACAGAACACATGTCTGAGATCCTTCAGCAGCTTTTAACTGATACATTCTAGAACAATGTCCAAGTAAGATGGGTACACCCTGGGATGCACAAAATAATCTTTTGGGGGTGGTAGAGGAAAAGCATTAGGATGTCTCCCCCTAATTTTCTTTTCTTTTTTCTTTTTTTTTTTTGAGACAGAGTTTTGCTCTTATTGTCCAGGCTGGAGTATAGTGGTGTGATCTCAGTTCACTGCAACCTCCGCTTCCCGGGTGCAAGCGATTCTCTTGCCTCAGCCTCCTGAGTAGCTGGGTTTACAGGTGCCTGCCACCACGCCTGGCTAATTTTTGTATTTTTAGTAGAGACAAGATTTCATTATGTTGGCCAGGCTGGTCTTGAACTCCTGACCTCAGGTGATCCACCCACCTCAGCCTCCCAAACTGAAGGGATTACAGAAGTGAACCACAGTGCTCGGCCATCTCCCCCTAATTTGTTTACCTTGTTTTTTACAAATGTAAGTTTTTGTTAATGTTTTTAATGTACACATTAGTCCATATACTTATGATATATTGTAAATAAATATACATATAATGGGAGTATATGCTCCACATTTTTTACCGATAGGAAAATGTGACCAAAGAGTTTTGAGACTATTATTCTAGGAAACAGAAAATGATAAAATTAATGTAATTTCTAGATGTAGAACTACATTATGCGTGTGTGTATAAGCTCATGCACAATTGTATGCTTAGTAGTCTTCCCATAACATACTTCTCAGTCATAACTAGCAATCATAATCACATTTAATACAAAGTAAAGACATTTTGTAAAGACTCAAATGTATACATTATAATTTATAAAGGTAAACATTTTATTTTACTTAAAAAATTTAAAATTAATTTATTCTAAATAGGTAATAGATTTATATGGTTAAAAAAAAAATCAAAGCTGGGCATAGTGGCAAAGTGTCCCAGCATTTTGGAAGGCTGTGGCAAGAGGATCAGTTGAGGCAAGGAGTTCAAAACCAGCCTGGTCAACTTAGTGTCTTTACAAAAGAAAAATTTTAAAAATTAGCTGGGCATGGTGGTTCACGCCTGTAGTCCCACCTACTCGGGAGGCTGAGGTGGGAGGACCACTTAAGCCTGGAAGTTCGAGGCTATAGTGAACCATGACCACACCACTGTATTACAGCCTGGATGACAGTGTGAGACCCTCTGTCTCAAAAAAAAAAAAAAAAAAAAAAAGAAAAAGAAAATAAATCAGTAAGAAGCTGGCTCATGCCTGTAATCCCAGCTTCCACCACTTTAGAAGGCAGGAACATTGTTTGAGACCAGGAATTCAAGACCAGGCTGGGGAATATAGCAAGACCTCTCTCTACCAAAAAAAAAAATAATAATAATAAAGGAAAAAAAGCTCCTCTCCCACTCCAACCTGGGAAGTTTTAATTTGTTAGAACAAGAAGTGGACTGGGCATGAAGGCATCATGGTCCCAACACTATCTGGTCTTTTACTAACTATATGAATTTGGAGAAATTCTTTAATTTCTTTAATTTTATTATTTAAAAAAGTTTTACCTTTATACATTGTGATGTAAAATTTGAGTCTTTACAACGTGACTTTACTTTGTATTAAATGTGATTATGAGGCTGGGCGCGGTGGCTCAGGCGTGTAATCCCAGCCTGTAATTACTTGGGAGGCTGAGGCAGGAGAAATGCTTGAACCCAGAAAGCAGAAGTTGCAGTGAGCTGAGTTTGTGCCACTGCACTCCAGCCTGGTAACAGAGTGAGACTCCAACTCAAAAACAAAAAGTGATTATGACTGCTAGATTGCTAGTTACGACTGAGAAGTATGTTATGGGAAGGAATAGCTGCAAGGTTTTTCCTTTAACATGACCAAGTAATTCTAAAATGTATTTGGAAGACAAAATGGTACAAGTTTCTTCCCCTATAAAATGAGGGAATTTAGATGCTATGTCAAGATCTATCCAGGGTAACAGAAACCACATCAAATAGTTAAAACAGCAAGAATTTAATGCAAAGATTTTGACACATAACTGTTGGAGGATCTAAGGGGTGAAACAGAACAGTGAAGTAATCCAGAGTTTAGAGATAGCTAGAAGTGACTACCAACCCTCGGTTGGTGAGGTAAAGGAAGGAGGCACTGTTATTGGAGCCCAGAGGCCTGGGTTCCCAAAGGAAGCTGAAACTAAGACAGCTGGATCCCCTTCTGTTAGGATGTGTCCACAGAACCTAGTCTAAGAAATCATGACTTGGCCGGGTACAGTGCCTCACACCTGTAATCCCAGCACTTTGGGAGGCCGAGGCGGGCAGATCACGAGGTCAAGAGATTGAGACCATCCTGGCCAACATAGTGAAATCCCGTCTCTACTAAAAATACAAAAATTAGCTGGGCGTGGTGGCAGGTGCCTGTAGTCCCAGCTACTCAAGAGGTTAAGGCAGGAGAATCTCTTGAACTCAGGAGGTGGAGGTTGCAGTGAGCCGAGATCGTACCACTGCACTACGGCCTGGCAACAGAGCGAGACTCCATCTCAAAAAAAAAAAAAAAAAAAAAGAAATCATGACTTAAAAATGAAACTAGAATCAGAAAATGGGCAAAAGACTTGAACAGGTATTCTCTAAAGAAGATATATAGATGGCCAATAAGCATGTGAAAAGATGCTCATCATCATTAGTCATTAGGGAAATGAAAATAAAAACCACAATGTGACATCATTACTGCACACTTACTAGGATGACTATAGTCCAAAAAATGGAAAATTACAAATGTTGACAAAGATGTGGAGAAACTGGAACCATGGTTAATTGCTGGTGGGAACGTAAAACTGTACAGTTGCTGCAGAATACAGTTTGTCAATTCTCAAAAAAATTAAATATAGAATTACCACATGTCTCAGCAATTATACTCAAAAAAAAAGAAAAAGGAAAACTGGTACTCAAATAAATACTTGTACACCGATGTTCATAGAAGCATTATTCCTAATAGCCCCAAATTGGAAATAACCAAGTGCCTATCATTAGATGAATGATAAACAAAATGTAGTGTGTGTATATATATATATATATATATATACACACACAATGGAATAATAAAGCTATAAAAAGAAATGAAGTTTTTTTTTTGAGACAGGGACTTGCTCTGTCACCCAGGCCAGAATGCAGCAGACTGATCAAGCTTACTGCAGCTTTGACCTCCTGGATTTAAGGGATTCTCCCACTTCAGCCTCCCAAGTAGGTGGGACTACAGGCACTTGCCACCCAGCCTGGCTAATTTTTTTATTTTTATTTTTTGTAAAGACGAAATCTCACTATGTTGCCCAGACTGGTCTTGAACTCCTGGTCTCAAGGGATCCTTCCACTTCGGCCTCCCAAAGTGCTGGGATTACAGGCGTGAGTCACTGGGCTCAACCAGAAATGAAGTTCTGATAACATGCCACAATATGGATGAACTTTGAAAACAGTATGCTAATTAACATAAGCCAGGCATAAAATAACAATTATTATATGA